CGGAACCGTATGCGGGAATCAAGAACCGCCCCCGGGGGTTCGTGGTTCCCGCGTACGGCCCCGTGAGGATTCCTGGCGCGAAAATCGCTAGCTCGAAAACGAAGAAAGCTGGGAGGCTGAAACTTTCAGGAAATGTTCCCAACTTACCTACAACTTAAATTTATCAAATTCAGCCTCCCTCCCCCTTATGCGTGATTGCCACGTACAGCCCCGTGAAATTTTCTGGCTGGAATTTGGGTAACTCGGGAAGCTGGGAACCTGGGATTTCAAGGGAATGTTCCCTATCCATGTATAGCTCGGGGCCAGTATGCACAAGAGGTTTCTAGCTAGCGGAATTTCGAGCGATCTTATTACAGCACGAAACACTGCAAAAACGCATGATCGAACGGGCCTGCCCGAGCGCGCCGCCAATGATTTAATTTTATCCGCTGCGGACGCCTGGGGGCAGCTTGCGGACGCTTTAAAGAAATATGCAATTTTTTGGACGGAAAGCGATTTTGGGAACCATATGGGCAAGAGGACTGAAACTTTAGTAGGGATATTCCCCGTACATGTACTAGCTAAGCATTTCAAATTCAGCTTCCAGGTATGTGTGGTACTTATTTAAGGGCTTGTGAAAATTTTAGCGGGAAAATTGCTAACTCGGGCACCAGGAAAGCTAGAAAGCTGAAATTTTGGGGTAATGTCCCCTATCGAAGTACAACTCAAATATTTCAAATTCAGCCCCAAGCTATGCGTGGTTTTAACGTACGGGCGCTTAAAGTTTTGGCGGAAAAATTTCCCACTGAACAGCCAGGCTGCAGTTAAAGGACGACCTTGAAGTGGAAATTGTACATTTGCTCTATGCAATATTTATGGTAATTTACGCTGCTTACTGCAAAAGGTAGATGTAAAGCAACAACCATTCGTGCATTTAATGACCGGAGTACTTCAAGTCCGGTGTAAAAACGTATGGTCGCAAGGGCCCGCCCGGTGCGTTCCAGCCTGGTTGCAAATTTGCATATGAGCAGAAACGCACAAAAACGACCGAGCTTCATGCAAAAAACTGGTAATCATGTACTTGCAGGTCCATGCGACTCTATTACGCAACACCGTCATCTCAATCGATGTCCATTTTGCTGCATGCCGGAAGAAAGCAAAACGTGACCAATATGACCCCAAGTGTTTGGTTGCAGCGCAGGGATTATTCCTGCTAATAGCGACCCGCGAGTTTCGTGTAAAAACGCATGATCGTATCGGCAAGCCCGGTGAATCCCAGCCTATATTTTATACTTGTTCTCGCTGCCGAATTGTCTGAATTCAAAATTCGTTTTTTTAATAATTTTCTTTTGCCCTTACATGATCTTTACTCTGCAAACCATCTTTTACTTTTTATGCGTTTTTTGCAGCTATGCAATGCAGAAAACGCAAGTTGTCGAGGGGCCGTGCGAGTGCGTGCGTGTGTGCGTCTGTGTGTTCGTCTGTACCGATTTTTCATCTCGAGACCGACAAAAGCTACGGGGATGAAATTTTGGGAACTCAATCTACGTGCATATATGGGCCCCCTTTCCCAAAATGAGTGCTCTTATCCACATGGTACCCTTGTAAGTGTCAGCCAAATTTTTTTACGGACAAGCTGCTAATTCGGAAACCAGAGAAGCTGGAAAACGGAAATTTTAGGGGAACGCTCCCAGTCCGGCGGGTATTAATGAGCTCAAACCCATCCCTCGGGTATGCGTGGTATCCACATACGGGTCTATGAAATTTTTTTCCGGTAAGTTGCGAACTCGGGGCTAGGGAAGCTAGAAATCAGAAATTTTAAGGGGGTGTTTCCTGACAGTTCTGGCAGCTAGTCTTAATTTATTTATCTGGAAACATTTGCCGGAAAAACCGGTGCAGATAGCGACAAAAACTGCGGGGAAATATGCAAAAAACGCACCTTCGCACGGGCTGCCCGTGCTTTAGCCAATTATTATAAATCACTTTTACTTCTAGTCCCAGCACATGCATAGTCTTCTAAAAAAAGGTTTTGATAACTATCCGAAAAGTAATGATCTCTGATTTCCCAGTTTTGTTTGTTATTTTCCTTGCACATCAAACAGATAAACATAGTTCCTTCGCGAGAAAAGTGTACGTATACTGGAAAATAACAATGCTAACTT